CAGGAGCTATTGTGACATTGGCCGCTGCTGTGGCAACTTCGGAGATCACTGTAGGTTGCGCATCAATTTTCGCTTTGATTATGTTGAGGACTTTCGTGATCTGGTTGACGTCCCCTTTGATCCCTTCAATGTCATTATCCATTTGATCGATCCTTTGGTCGTTATCTGCCATCTTCTTTTGAGCTTAGGACCGTGTGTTGTATCTATGGGTACTCAACGTGACTCCTTATCTCCTTCTGAACAAGAACAAAGGATGAGCTGCAGAACTCAAATGCAGGACTGATGCAGGATGACATGCAAATGCAAATGCGGGTGCATAAACCATTCAAGGAAACTCAATTTTTTTGTTTACAAACAAAAAGTTAGAACAACATGTAACGACATGCTTAAAAAGAGTTTTTCAATCCTTTTTTTCAATAGAGTGGCCTTTGCTAAAGGCAAGACCTTTCTTACAAGGAAAGTGAAAGTAAATGCAACAAACAGGATTTCAATCCTTTTTTAGGGAAAGCAGGGAAATGGTGAAACAAAGATCAATCTAACAAGATGATCCTTCTCCTTCTTGGAGTCTGACATGAACTTGGTCCTGGCGGATAATCTCCCACGGGTCTTTGTTCTCTCTTTGCGCCTTGATCAAAGTATATATTAGCTCTTCCCTAGTTGCGGGGACCTCAGGCTCCATGGTTATCTCATAGTCATGAGTGTAGAACATGTTTAAGGCAGTTTCTTTTGACCATAGCAGGTACCCCCTGGTGGTTAAACAACTTGCATTCTCCATTGGAGTTAGGCCTAAGACGTGTGGATCTCTTTGAGCGTATTGAGCATTTTCTTCTAGTTCTTGGTTGCGACCTGTCTCACAGAAGCAAGGCCTCAACAGTTCTGGTTCGGGCTCTGGTCCGGTAGGATACCCATGTTGACGCCGAGCGAGAATAGGATTATATGTGATCACCCCTTCTATCCCAATGAGAGGCACATTGGGGAAATCTCCATAGCTAGGAATCATGACTTGGTCACCGATGTTGGTGTCGTACCATGTGATGTCATGGTGTCTGAGAGTGACGAGTTTAGAAACCCACGCGCTTTTGGTAGGAAGCCTCCAAAGGATATGAGTCCTTGGTAGATGAGAAGTAAACCATCGGTCGAGTAGTGCAAGACAGCATGAGAATTGCCCACAATCATACAAGATTAAATGGTGGATGACCATATAAATGTTAGCCAGTATGGTGTTGACCGGATTTTTGATAATGAAGAGGCGGATCGCCTCTTCGCTGATGAAGTCGTAACTGCTTGGAAAAAGATACAATCCATATATCAGTAATGCCAGGTGTCGTACCTCGAAAAATACGATCCTCGCGATGGCCGCGGAAAATACTGTTCGAAACAGAGTCGCCACCGAACTTTATTTATTCCAAGGATGGAATAGGAAAATATCGATAAAACCTTTAAAGGGATAAGAACATGGTCATTGCAACCAATATTCTAGGTTCGGGAGTCGGTTACGCAGAGGGAAGGTATTAGCACCCTCTACATCCGTTGTACTTAACGGGAACCTCTTGATCGATTCGAGAGTAAAGTTAGCTATGCTTGTTTGTTTTCTTCTAAGGTTTCTCCTATGGGGGGAAATGGTGGTTTTTAAGATAGGGTGCTCGCCAAGGATTAAGGCCCTTGTGCCTACGTATCTTCACTTGTAAGAAGTAGAAAATTAGAGCATTCGTAGTTCGTGAGACTACGGGAAAAAGGAGGGGATTGTGGGGAATGTGCTCGCCAAGATCATCGCAATCTTGTGCCTACGTATTCTCATTGATAAATGAGAAATCAGAGCAGCCGTAGTTCGGCTAACTACGGTTTGTGGGTTTTGGTAAACGAACGAGTGTTTGGGTCGCATTCTAACTGCTAAACGTTGGCTTGTCTGCTCGCTAGGGGAGGCTGAAGCACGAGTTTGTTATGCGCGGAAGAAGGGACTAAACAATGTTCTTTGAGGAGAGTTGCTTGAGTTGGAAATCGCACGAGGGCGAGGAATTTAGGTTTATCGCATTGGATGTTTTGGTTAGAGGATATATTTGAATAGGTTTGTGGTTTCGATCGCACGGGGACGAGAGAGAGGAGTTTGGTTAGGTAATTTGATGGAGAATGACGACTATTCGATAAATGAGACGTCAGCCTCGTAATCAATTAATCGGGGCATTATTGGAATGCTAGATTCCAACAATACCTTTTTCATTCGACTAACTTCGAAATTAGTGTTTAAGGAAGTTTCAATCGCACGGAGGCGAGGAAAGAGAGTTGGGTTGAATGTTTTAAGGGAGAATGATGACTACTCGATAAACGAGACGCCAGTCTCGCAATCGATTAATCGGGATATCATTGGAATGTCAGACCCCAATGATACCTTTTTCATTCAATTAATTATGAAAGTGTATTTGAATGGACAATGGCGATATGTGTCCAAATAATTAGGGCACGTGTTTTATAAACGAAAGGTCGAGTGAACCACAACCTAAAGCGTACGCCCTAAGAGTAGTTACTCAAAAATTCAAGGAGTGCGAGACTCCAAGAACTCAATTCTTTCGTAGTTTAAATTAAGAAAATAGTTTGGATGTGACGTATGGTTTTAGAGACATACTAGGGTTTGTATTGAGGGAGACTTAGATTCGATCACGCGAGGGTGAGAAACGAGGTTTAGACGGGTTGAAAAATTAGGAGGAATGACGACTACTCGATAAACGAGACGTCGGCCTCGTAACCAATTAGTCGGGATATCGTTGGAATGCTAGATCCCAACGACAATCCTTTTCATCCCATTAATTATGAAATAGTGTTTGTTGGACAGTGAATACTTATCCAAATAATTATGGAAATATTTTAGAAACGAAAGTTCGAACGACACACCATTCAATGCGTACGCCTCAATAGTAGTCACTCTCAAATTCGAGGAATGCGCGACTCCAAGAACCCGATTCTTTCGTGATTCGATTTAGAAAATATTTTGAATAGTTTAGCGTACTCGGACTAGGCGTACTAGGTATTAAAAAAAATAAGATCGGAAGGGTCACAACTCAAGGTGTGCACCTCGAGAGCGGTTGCTTAAAAATTCAAGGAAGGCGAGATCCAAGAATTTGATTGTTTTGAAAATTATTTTAGGAAGATTGTATAATTTGATTGAGAAAAAAATAGTTTAATTTAATTAAGAAAAATAGTTTTTAATTTTCATATATTTAATTAATCAATTGCTTATAGAAAGATTTTGAGAAAAGCTAATCATAATTAATTGTTGTTTTTTTTTAAAAAGAGTTTAATATCTTAAAAAAATAAGTTTTAAATAAAGTATAATTTTCGAAAAGTTTAATATTTAAAATATTAATTTGGTAATGATTTTGAAATGTATTTTATTTTAAAAGAATGAATATTTGGAATTTATTATAAAAATATCTAATTAATAAAAATTATTATTTTTTAAAGTATCTTTTTTAGAAACTTCAATTTAAATTAAATGAAAAAAGAAATTTGAAAATCGAAAGCCGGAACAACCACAACTCAACGGCGTGCGTCTCGAGAGCGGTTGTTCAAGGATCCAAGAGGCGCTAGACCTCAAGAATCCACTACTTTCGTTGTTTAATTAAAATATTTTGATATTTAAAAAAAAACAAATTGAAATGAGATAATTAATATTTAATTAACATTAGATAGAAAAGACTAGCATTATTTATTTTAATTATCTAAGGTTAGTATAAGTTAGTTGTCCACTAACTTAATAAAAAAACTAACTTAAAGAAAATACTTTCTTCCATCAGTAATTATTTTTAATATAAAACAAATCAAACGAGATCATGACAATTTTTAAAATTGACATATGATTAAGACAGCAAAACAAATATATAATAAGTGCCCCAACTTAAACATAATGTAATTCAATGATATTGGAAGATAAAGTACAATCACCAAAAAGAAAACCAGAAGATCCATTTAAAACTTACCGAATAACACCACCTCAATACATAACAAACATAAAAGTTGCAAGCTCTAATATAATGCAGAACTTAGAAAACATAACAATGAATCGTAGCAGTAACAACATTCAATCCTCCATGCTACGAAACCTTTAGCAAGAATGATCGATACGCGACACACATGAACATTAAGCACGCAATAGAACAAGCGAAAAGATCGAAAGAAGAGAAAAAAAACTATGTAGAAGAAACAGAACAATAACATATATCAAAACGCAAGATGACACTTCAGTGTTAACCATCACAACCATAATGAAGCGGTGCCGAGAAATTAATTAAGAAATTACCGACGGCGATTCGGAGTCTTAAATCAACGATGGAAGTCGAGACACTTGAATTGAATCACTCTGCTGCCGCTTTGTTTCGTCGCGTTACCGTAAGCAGCGTCTCCGCTATCATGTCATCCATGTTGTTTGAAGCGTTGTGTTTGCCATTGTTGATTCAAAACAGCGGAACTAGTCGAAAATTTTGCGATAAGAGCTGGAATGTTATCACAGTTCGACAATATTGGAGGTGAGGCAGTATGTTTGAAGGTTGTAGCAGGCGCAGTGATGAAAGTACAGGGGAGGCATGAGTTTGGTGTTGAACTGCTGAAGGAGAATGGTCAAGCATTACATGGTTTGTGTTTACCATTATCTGCTGGTTGCTACTAAATACTTTGGAAACCATGAAATATACAAACTTAACAGCGTTATTACTGGATTTCCGCCCAATATTTTCTTTAATCCATTATGCAGCATCACATTAGCCCAGTGTAATCGAAACAACATGGATTTGGAATTCCCCGTCGAAGAGCCGACTCCAGCTAATCCACACATATCATCACCACATTCTTCGAAATGGCGTCTCGCAAACTCGATCGTGCATGAAAGTAAAAGCCTCAGACCGTCATCTAGCCTAATAACTCGTAAATTCGGATCCAACTCAACAACACAGTAGTGCTATATCTTCATTTTGACCAACAACCGCTTCTTCATGTCATCATCATCTACTAACTCAGAAATCCTGCAACAACTTGCGAACCTGCTCCAGAGTAACAAACAGAACAACAGTGAAAGGACCCTGCCTCGAAATCGTAGGTATAAACCCTTTGTAAAGAGCCATAGGACCCTTAGCATGAACTGTTTTCAATGCACAATCCAAAGCACCAGCATAAGGTGGTTCCTTACCAGGTTCCACCCTCATGTTCATCACCCTTGTTTTAATCACATCAACTGGATTAGTCACAACCTCCGCCACAAATCCTGCCGTGAAACTCGCTGTCACGTGGGTTCCAAGCCCGTCTTTCATCACTCTTTTCTCGAGAATAATCTCCTTGAACTGGTCGTAAGATGCCAGCTGTGAAGCTGTAACCAGCATAGCCCTGTTTACGGTAAGAGATGAACCGCGCCAAAGACTGGTTATACCTTCTTGCTTTGCCATTCTTGTAATGGCATCGACCACTGATTTGTAGTTTCTCCGCTGAGATGCTGGTAATCTCCCGTCGGCTTGCATTCGGACCATGGCAAAATCGGTTGGGTTTCTGATTGCGGCTCTGACTCCACTTGCGATGAGTCCTGCTTCGATCTTACGAAGCAGTGGCATAGTGTCGGCTTCACGATCTGACCACTTGTTTTTCAGGATGTCAGAGAGACCCATCCTGGTGGAGTAAAGTGTCTGCCGGAGAATAAGGCTCTAACGCCTTCTTGTTGGACGAGACGGACTCCAACAGAGATCGGAATCACGCGAGGCTGAATAACCGGAGTAGGCCCCACGTGGATGGAAGTTGTTCCGGTTTGACCGAAAGCAAGAGCGGGTCGGAGATTCTGAACCGGGTTCGGCTTAGGAGCGTTTTCGCCCTGAAGCTGCATACGAACCTTAATTAGGTCAAGCGAGTGGGTGAAACATCCTGCTATGATAGAAGCAACACCACCTTCAACAAAACCTTTAACTCCCATGATGTTGTAGGTCTTTGCGTTAGTAGAAAAAAAAAGGGTTTGAAAGAATTTTGGGAAAAGAATAACTAAATGAATGAATAATGATATGAATTAGAGATTTGACCAATTGGAATTAGAGGACATCTCACTAGAAACCAGGAGATGGGAATGAAGGCCACAAGCTATAGAAGAAGCGTGAGGAACATAAGGCCTTTGAGACATATGCTAGAAATTTGGTGTTGTGGTGTGACTACTATTGTTAATGGCGAGGCGAGGTAAAAAGATGATTATTGTGAACTTCGAATGTTTCTTGTTGCATATTCATGGTGGCGAGAATGACAGTTTTACGGTGATGAGAGCGGAAGGAGAGGGTGACAATAGGGTTTGGCGGCCGGTTATTGTGTGTTTTTGTGAACAGTCATCCAATTGGGGTTTCTTGATCAATTTTCTTTTCTTATAACAAGAAACATATCCAATTCTCAACATAGGCCCAATGGGCCTCGTCCATTCCCTCTTCTGATCCCTCTCTTTTTTTAATTTCTTTTTTTTATTTTTTTAAATAAATTCTGTTTCTATTTGCTAACTTAATTAATTAACTTCTAACTACATTTCTAACTAATATAAAAACTAATTCTAACTTAATTAATATTAAAAAAAAATCTAATTATAACCTTTAAATAAAGTTCTAATTTAATTACTACTAAAAAGAATCTAATCCTATTTCTAATTAAAAATCTATTCTAATTAATTAATATTACAAATATATTACATTATTTAAAATAAAAACATAACGATTAATAAGTAAAAATGCCACGTGTCTAAGACTTATTGGGCAACAAGGTGAAAATGCCTGTTTTTGCTGAAAATTACGCTACGTTGTATAAGCGAGGTAAATTAGAAACAAAATCGGGCAAATAAAAATTTTGAAAAAGGTAGGACAAATTTGGGGTATGACAGATGCCCCTATCTAATTGTCTTGAACCTGAGAGAATGAACAACTGTATGGCGTTCATTTTTAGGGTGGAAGTCAATTAGATACCAAAAGACCCCGAAATTTGTCCGACAAGTAAGTAAAAATGCAAAGAGATGGGATATACCAGAACGGGATGACAGGATGCAAAATAGATGAACGAGATAACCCGATATTCTCTGGGTGGTCGAAGCAGTCCCTTATCCGTTAAGGCTCTTCGATGATACCAAAGCGGTATCTCGAACAAAAACTTGAGATTCTTCGGGTGGTCGAAGCAGTAACTTATCCATTAAGCCTTTTCGATGATACCAAAGCAGTATCTCGAACAAAACTTGAGATTCTTCGGGTGGTCGAAGCAGTACCTTGTCCATTAAGGCTCTTCGATGATACCAAAGCAGTATCTCGAACAAAACTTGAGATTCTTCGGGTGGTCGAAGCAGTACCTTGTCCATTAAGACTCTTCGATGATACCAAAGCAGTATCTCGAACAAAACTTGAGATTCTTCGGGTGGTCGAAGCAGTACCTTGTCCATTAAGGCTCTTCGACGATACCAAAGCAGTATCTCAAATAAAGCTTGAGATTCTTCGGGTGGTCGAAGCAGTACCTTTCCCGTTAAGGCTCTTCGATGATACCAAAGCAGTATCTCGAACAAAACTTGAGATTCTTCGGGTGGTCGAAGCAGTACCTTGTCCATTAAGGCTCTTTGATGATACCAAAGCAGTATCTCGAACAAAACTTGAGATTCTTCGGGTGATTAAAGCAGTACCTTCTCCATTAAGGCTCTTCGACGATACCAAAGCAGTATCTCGAATAAAGCTTGAGATTCTTCGGGTGGTCGAAGCAGTACCTTGTCCATTAAGGCTCTTCGATGATACCAAAGCAGTATCTCGAATAAAGCTTGAGATTCTTCGGGTGGTCGAAGCAGTACCTTGCCCGTTAAGGCTCTTCGATGATACCAAAGCAGTATCTCGAACAAAACTTGAGATTCTTCGGGTGGTCGAAGCAGTACCTTGTCCATTAAGGCTTTTCGACGATACCAAAGCAGTATCTCGAATAAAGCTTGAGATTCTTCGGGTGGTCGAAGCAGTACCTTGTCCATTAAGGCTCTTCGATAATACCAAAGCAGTATCTCGAATAAAGCTTGAGATTCTACGGGTGGTCGAAGCAGTACCTTGCCCGTTAAGGCTCTTCGATGATACCAAAGCAGTATCTCGAACAAAACTTGAGATTCTTCGGGTGGTCGAAGCAGTACCTTGTCCATTAAGGCTCTTTGATGATACCAAAGCAGTATCTCGAACAAAACTTGAGATTCTTCGGGTGGTCGAAGCAGTACCTTGTCCATTAAGGCTCTTCGACGATACCAAAGTAGTATCTCGAATAAAGCTTGAGATTCTTCGGGTGGTCGAAGCAGTACCTTGTCCATTAAGGCTCTTCGATGATACCAAAGCAGTATCTCGAATAAAGCTTGAGATTCTTCGGGTGGTCGAAGCAGTACCTTGCCCGTTAAGGCTCTTCGATGATACCAAAGCAGTATCTCGAACAAAACTTGAGATTCTTCGGGTGGTCGAAGCAGTACCTTGTCCATTAAGGCTCTTCGATGATACCAAAGCAGTATCTCGAACAAAACTTAAGATTCTTCGGGTGGTCGAAGCAGTACCTTATCCATTAAGGCTCTTCGATGATACCAAAGCAGTATCCCGAGTGATAATTTTGCTGAGGAATAGGTGAGCTACAGTTCCTATTAGAGGAACGACATTGTCAGAACTCTGCAGGGGAGAAATCCTCAATAAACTTTCTAAGATAACCTCTACTTGGGGAGCCACCAGAGCAATAGTTGCTGGGGATCATCATCACCAACTGCATGGTTGAATATTGGCCTGCTGGGGAGTAGAATTCCCTGAACTCGTGGGGTATCAATCCTGTACAGAGAAATACTGCCGACATTGATAGAGGACCGGTCAGGATACTTGTGAACTGATCCTGGATCCTGTTATGCTATGTCACTGGGGACAGAAATGCCATGCTCTGTATGATGCGCAAATATGCAAATGATGCAACTGCTAGGGAAATTAGATGCATATGCAAATGGTGTGCAATGCGTATGAAATGCAACTGGATAACGGGATTTGGTAAGGCTTTATTTCTGGTTTTCCACAAGGGATTATTTTTGGTATTAGGTGAAACAAGGTGAAAAGATTTACGGGGTATATTGGTTTATCAACTCGGGGTTGAGAAGAACAAATATACTATCAACTCGGGGGTCGAGGATAAATCAGAACAACAAGTCAACTTGAGGATTGAAGAAGAATAGCAAATATCGACTCGGGGGTCGAGGATAAATCAGAACAACAAGTCAGCTTGAGGATTGAAGAAGAATAGCAAATATCGACTCGGGGGTCGAGAGAAAGTAAAGGCCATATCGACTCGGGGGTCGAGAAAAAAATAAAGGTAAATATTGACTCGGGGGTCGAGAGAAAAAGATAACAAAGATATCGACTCGGGGGTCGAGAAAATAAAGACATATCAACTCGAGGGTTGAAGAAAGGTAAATATCGACTCGGGGGTCGAAAAAACAAAATATCAACGTGGGGGTTGAAGGAGGAAAAGGCAAATATCGACTCGGGGGTCGAGAAAATAAAGACATATCAACTCGGGGGTTGAAAGAGGAAATGATCGTGCTATGTATGCGTATGATACATGTCAATTGTATGATGCATATGTGAATGCAAGTAGGAAATTGGTTTTTTGAAGGTGCCAACAAGGGTGGACTTTGGTAGTTGCCAATAAAGGATTGGACTTTAAGAGATGCCAAGCGAGGTTGGACTTTTGGGTGGTGCCAAGCAGGGTTGGACTTTTAGTGGTTGCCAATATGAATTGGACTTTAGGGGATGCCGTGCGGGGTTGGACTTTTAAGGGTTGCCAATACAAATTGGACTTTAGGAGATGCCAAGCGGGGTTGGACTTTTAATGGTTATGTTGCCAGCAAGGTGGACTTTTATTTGGTTGCTGATAAAAATGGACTTTTTGAGTTTTATGGGATGCCAACAGAAGTGGACTTTATTTGGTGAAAGTATTTGACTTCCCGACAATCGGTATCTGATGATGCTATGGTCAGAAGACAGATATGGATGCTTATGGATGCCCCAAGTTAGATCCTTTGCAGAAGTTGTGCACTCGTTCTTGTAAGAACCTAGCTTCTAGATGATATGCCTTGATGGCTTGCAAATCTTGAGCGCAGCGACATAACCAAAGCATGTTGAATATGCGAGCGTAGCGACTTACCAATGCATGTTGATCATGCTTTTGCTCTGCCCCAAGGCTTTTGATGCTTGTTGTGAACTCAACAGTTACTGATGTTTAGCATGGTCAGCTTGCCCAACTTTGAAAATAAGGAGGGAAGCTGCCCCCGTTCAACTAGTCTGCCTCAGTCCGCCAGCTATTTGAAGATTTTTTCCTTAAAGATTTATACCATGACAGGGTCTGCGATGATTGCCCCAGTGTCTGGATTTTGCAATAATATGCCCCTGTTTGAAACTCAGAAGAACTTGCCCCAGTCTGAACCTTGTAGTGGTCTGCCCCGGTTTAAACCTCAGAAGGACTTGCCCCAGATTCGCAGGGTTATGAGAAAGTCTTGATTTAGGTCAACACCAATGAGTGATCAAGTTCTTCTTTGATTGCACTTTGTTGGTAGTTCTATTATGTCAAGTACTAATTTGCAGCTTAAAATTGTTCATTTTAAAAAATGGTAATTTTAATGCGACATTCATGCAAGTTTTGAAAGGATCATTTATTGGAAATGATGTGAAAATGTGTGACGATTGGACCATTAATCCAAACGCAATGCTGATTTAATTGGTGTGAAAGATATAGCAAGAATATGACACCAATGCATAAGATTAGCAAATATGTAGGAGTCATTTTACGCAACCTTGTTGTAGTTATGCTTTCAGAATAAAACTCCGCCTCAATTAGGTCTTTTGAGGGTTGTATTGTGGTCTGGTTCACGGTTATGAAAACAAAGGATATTAGGCTCAAAGTATGATTTGGTAC